TAATAAAGTTATAATATTATTTCTTTTTTTTTTCTTTTCCCAATTCAAAACACCGTTTTTGCAATAAATCATGCAGTAGACCATATGATTTGGACTGTGTATGTAAACTGTATGTAAAGATTCAATGCAGCAGCATAACAGCCATACTAATATATACCAGCTTTGACCCACCCATAGAAATATAACGAGTGAAATTATAATAACAATAATCAGTGTCCATCTGGTTTTCAACAGCCAACGCAGTGTTTCCTATGAATGTGATTCCTGTGTAAATACATTTATTCCGCCTCCACGGTGAATTAAAATATCTGTGTAAATGCACTGTTTACCTCTGTTGTGGTTTTTATGCCACTTCAGATGCGCCCTCTATGCTGTCTTCTCAGTGTAAGGACAACATTAGTCATTTTCCTGAAATGTCGCAATTGAAGTGTGGCAGATTTTTGCACACCATGGCACTTATCTGTATACGCAGTGTTTTGTCATGTGGATGCTTCATCAACAAAATTATTAGCAACTAATTAACGAGTCTTTTGATGAATTTTTGTGCATTGAAGCAGAATCATTGAGTAGGCATCATGATCCATCTCTGAATCCCTTTTCCCTTCTCTTTCACAAGTCAGCGGGTTCAAGTGTTCATGGAGCAATATTCTGCAATGTGGAAAAATTCCAAAACCTGATTGCATTTTTCAGTTAATATTCAGTTCATATGTAAAATTATGTATAATTACTGTGGGCTAAATAAGTACTAAAATAAAAAAATCTTGATGAACTGGACATCTTAGATGTGTGTATTTATTTATTTATAAATAATATTTATACTGTGATAAGCTATGAGCACAGTACAATAAATTAGATAAACTGTGAAATGGGAAATTTAAAGTAAAAATAAAATATTTAAGGGAGGTAGGCGGATGAAAGGCGAAAATGGAACCTCTAAAAAAATGTGTTTTTTATGTCAACAGCTAGATCTTGGCTGTATTGGAATCTGAACGCAGCCCAAGTGCTCACATCCTCCCAGGCAATAAGCAATTTGCAACTTTTGCAGTTTTCTATTGCACTAAAGCAATTAAAACAAGAACGTGTGACCATTTTTGTATATGCCTTGCACATTAGGCACAAGTTCAATAGACCCGAGGTTCTTTCCACCCGGCCGACATTCTGTCTTATTTGAGATTAAATTAGAGAATGTCAGAAATAATCAATGTTACCATGTAAAATAATCCTGTTGCTATTGATCGCTATGCTCCAGAAAGGCCAACTATGAACACGGTTATGAAATAATGATGAATTGATCATGCGGCCAATGTAGCTGCTAGCTGCAAGCTATATTCACCTTTAATTCATACATGCACATCCACATCGAAACTGAGATTGTATAGTAATAGTGCAGGATTTCAACAACCGACATGCAAATCTCTGGCGGTGGCAGATAACCTCATCTCCTATTAGTGGTCTGTCACTTCAGTTGTATTTGTATAAAGTGACACTTTGCAGTTTATGAGTGACACCTAGCTAAAATCGATACTCAGGCTCAGTTTCAGCCGGTAGATGGTATAGATACTTCCCCTGTTCTAGAAACTCTGCTACTGCTCAGTTTTCACGCCGCCAACATAGACATCCAAGAAAACAAGTGGCACGGCACTGTGACATGTCTGGCTGATATTAATTCCTGTATCTTAGAAGTAAAGGTCTGTCTAAAGCCAAAAGGATATTTTTCTGTTTGATTGACACACTGATAATACCCATCCCCAGGAAAACCACATTGGTTTCCATGGTAACATTTATCACATAGAAACAGATAAAACTGGCATGAACTTGAAAAGTGCTTGTCAGTGTTGTGTCTGCCTTTGTCTGTCCGCTTCTCCTATAGACGACGCTGCAAAAGTTTAGCTTTGAAACCTCGCCAGTCACAATTACAGTGTGCACTGAACAAATGCCAGAAGTGCAAGTCAGGTCTGTGCATTTCGGTTTCATATAGGTCTTGCTGCTTGGCTCCGTGCGTGGGAGTGGATTCAAATGGGAGAAGGAGAGCGAGGCGAGAGAGACAGCGTGTTAAACACAGAGGGCCAGACCCCGGAATGACATTTGAAATCTCTTTGTGTATGCCGGCCTTCATTCTCTTTAATAACGCGCTATTCAGTGTGTTCTGGAGCGTGGATGTTATAGACAGAAACCAGGTAAAAGCTGCTCTCGGAGGAGGAAGACTACCAGGATCTTTGCCAGCTGTCTTTTGTCATGGTGCAGTACCTACCTACCTTAGTACCTTGAGATTATCTTACCTGGAGAAAGATAGCATTACTGTGGCAAGCATGCAGTTGGAAATCGGCCAGCCAAGAGTGCATGCAGTACACTCTTAAAAATAAAGGTGCTTCACGATGCCATAGAATAACCTTTTTGTCTAAATGGTTCCATAAAGAACCTTTAACATCTGAAGAACCTTTATGTTTCACAAAAGGTTCTTTGTGGCGAAATAAGGTTCTTCAGATTACAAAAGGTAAGAAAGAGATGGTTCTTTAAAGAACCTTTGACTGAATGGTTCTTTGTGGAACCAAAAATGGTTCTTCTATGGCATCGCTTGAAGAACCTTTTGAAGCACCTTTATTTTTAAGAGTGTAGTTCTACTGGAAGCTTGTTTTCAGCCAATGATCTGAACCGGGGCTTTATTATTAGCTATATTAAGTTCTAAAGTGCTATCAGGACCTAATTTACAAAAACTATTTCTAATGAAAATCAGTCTAAAACACCCTAAACACATTTGAAAACTGCCAAGCAAACACAAAACGATTTTACAATATTTGAGAACACTGTATTTTGGTTGCAGTTAGGATATGTTGCAGAACAACAAATTAAAAATAGTTAAGAAACCATATCTCAAATAAAAAATGATGTAACCACAACTCATTCGAGAAGCCATTTTACTCTGATATATGTCATAAAAGGGGAAGAAAAAAGACTTCAACTTTCATTTCATGCTGACTTTAAAGGGATAGTTCACCCAAAAATGAAAATTTGAAGTTTATCTGCTTACCCCCAGGGCATCCAAGATGTAGGTGACTTTGTTTCTTCAGTAGAACACAAACGAAGATTTTTAACTCAAACCGTTGCAGTCTGTCAGTCTTATAATGGAAGTGAATGGGAATCTCGGCCTTGAGAGTAAAAAAAACATACACAAACAAAACCAAATTAAACCCTGCGGTTCGTGACGATACATTGATGTGTAAAGACACGAAACGATCGGTTTGTGCAAGAAACTGGAACTGTCTGAACTGGTTTGAGCGCGTCCTTAGCGCATCCTCGACAGCCGGTGCATGACGCGTCTTCTTCTTCTTCTTGCTTTATGGCGGATCGCATATCGGACTTATAAGTGCATTACCACCACCTATCTCTCAAATGGACCATTGACACTCCTAATTGAGATTGTAGATATAATGTCAATGGTCCATTTGAGAGATAGGTGGCGCCGATAGTTAGGTCACCCCCCCCTCCAAAAAAAAAATGATACTGACAAGCTTTTGGTATAGTCCATGGGTAATGTTACAAAAGCTTTTTATTTCAGATAAATGCGGATCTTTGGATCTTTCTATTCATCAAAGAATCCTGATGTACTCAACTTTTTTAAATATTGATAATAATAATAATAATAATAACAACAACAACAAATATGTTTCTTGAACAGCAAATAAACATATTAGAATGATTACTGAAGGATCATGTGACACTGAAGACTGGAGTAATGAAGGGAAGTGAAGTGAAGGGAAAGGGAAGTGAAGGTGCAGTGCAAGAGATAACCTTTAATTATTTTCCGGTCCCAGACTAAGGATTTAGACCTTTTATATGTGATGGCCATACAAATAATAGGGTTGTCTGGTTTCAGAAATTGTTGTGGATGTATAGGCTATATACAGGAAATAAGGGGCCAAAATTGCACCTTTTGGGGTACAACAGCTTGTCACTGGAACAGGACCCTTAAAAGGACATATTTGTTCCTTTTTTACCCCTAATAGATAGGCCTACAAATTAGTACCTTAAGGGTACGAATTACTACTCTTAAGGGACTAATATGTATGTTGTACTGCTAGGTGTAAAGCTCTTGTACCCCAAAAGGTACCATTTTGGCCTTTTTTTTGAGTATTTTTGAGTATTTAGGAAACCGTTGCCATATGGCAACAGTGTACCACAATGGAAAATGGCCAAAAAAGTAGTTTTTCTATTAAATTACGATTTTCTTTTCTATTTAAATGGTAATTTATTTTAGATACTGATAGATTTTTATACTTGGACCTCATGCAAACCAAAAGTAAGTAGGTTCCTATCATTTAACCTTCAAAACGGTACTTAAAAGTATTATAATAGTGCTTGCAAACGGACAAAAAAATGTGCTTTTGTACCATATATGCATATCAAATTCATCAGCTTTTTATTGTTTTACATCCAGAAACTTTACAACAACAAAAACAAGTCTTTTTGAAAGTATTTTATACAAGTTAAGTAAATATATGGTAGCTTGGAACATGCACTAATACCATGTAGAACATGAAAACATAAGAACTTCAAAAATACAAGTATAACGATAGGCGGCTCCCTGAAGTAAAGTGTGTGTTTTCCCAGTCCATCCTCCTGTCTAAGTCCAACTCATGTCATATTTCATGGCATCCCGTGAAACTGCAAAAAGCAGTTCCTTTCAGCTGTGATGCAAAGGTGCAAGTCACATTTGCTGCACTTCATGCGGACGATCCCCTTGCAGCCAGGGTATTTGCACTTCCCTTTCTTCTCCATGACAGGCCAGTGGCTTGTTTGGTCCAACCTGACTTGATCAGGCACACTGGGGGCCACTGGGCCTCTTCTTATATGCTCTTCATTGTTTGCAAAATGAAGGAATCTTTTGATTGCCTCCCACCTATGCAGTGACATGACATCAGCCACACAATCAACCCTGGTGCTTCTTGCCCAGTACATGCGGGTTCCTGGCAGACTATGCACGGACATATGGAAACATATGCCTATGAATTGCTCCAATTCATCATAGGTCAGGTTTAGTGGCTTGTTGATGTTGTATTGGGAAGCATAGATTTTGCTTTGTTCCACAATCTCTTTCGTTAAAGTCTTCTTCAGAAGGCTGCGAAAATACTCCACTGGCTGTTTGAGTTCAGTGGCGGAGGGAAGGCTTCCCTTCCATTTTAGCACTGCTGGAATGCTCTTCCGCTTGAGCAAGTTGAGATTTTTTACCTTTGTTGCAGCTGCACAAAGTTCTTCAATTTCCTCTTGTCCTAAAAATGTTAACAAGTACAAAATAATGAAGGCCTCATCCAATCTTAATCTCCATCAAAATCTGCCACACACATATGCAAACACATATACACATGCACGCACACATTATTCTTTACTTCTATCCATAAGATCATACCTGTCACTTCTGCTTCTGACTCTAAAGACTCTTCTGCCTCTGACTCTGAAGACTCTCCCTCACTGCTTTCTCCCTCACTGCCCTCATTCAACTCCATCTCGTCACAGTCACTGAAGGCTAACTCATCCTCACTCTCATCACATGGAAGAGCTAACTCTGCACTCTTCCTATTGCCCTTTCCATAAAATATTGCTGTATTCATTTTCTGAAAAGAATACATAATTTTGTTATTTATACATAAATACAACTATACTACTTATATGCTCTTCATTGTTTGCAAAATGAAGGAATCTTTTGATTGCCTCCCACCTATGCAGTGACATGACATCAGCCACACAATCAACCCTGGTGCTTCTTGCCCAGTACATGCGGGTTCCTGGCAGACTATGCACGGACATATGGAAACATATGCCTATGAATTGCTCCAATTCATCATAGGTCAGGTTTAGTGGCTTGTTGATGTTGTATTGGGAAGCATAGATTTTGCTTTGTTCCACAATCTCTTTCGTTAAAGTCTTCTTCAGAAGGCTGCGAAAATACTCCACTGGCTGTTTGAGTTCAGTGGCGGAGGGAAGGCTTCCCTTCCATTTTAGCACTGCTGGAATGCTCTTCCGCTTGAGCAAGTTGAGATTTTTTACCTTTGTTGCAGCTGCACAAAGTTCTTCAATTTCCTCTTGTCCTAAAAATGTTAACAAGTACAAAATAATGAAGGCCTCATCCAATCTTAATCTCCATCAAAATCTGCCACACACATATACAAACACATATACACATGCACACACACATTATTCTTTACTTCTATCCATAAGATCATACCTGTCACTTCTGCTTCTGACTCTAAAGACTCTTCTGCCTCTGACTCTGAAGACTCTCCCTCACTGCTTTCTCCCTCACTGCCCTCATTCAACTCCATCTCGTCACAGTCACTGAAGGCTAACTCATCCTCACTCTCATCACATGGAAGAGCTAACTCTGCACTCTTCCTATTGCCCTTTCCATAAAATATTGCTGTATTCATTTTCTGAAAAGAATACATAATTTTGTTATTTATACATAAATACAACTATACTAAAATAAACACTTCAAATCAATAAATAACTGTGATCATTTTATTTATGCTACTATCTATAATAAATCCCAATGGGGAAATACATTACTGCAATTCCACTGTGGTACAGTGTTGCCATATGGCAACGCACCTATTTTTCCATAGTGGTACAGAGTTGCCATATGGCAACTTTGATATTTTCTTAATTTACAGTAAAACTATGTCAGACAAAATTGATTTGTGAATGAAAATATCTAATTTACTTACCAAAGATTTTGCAAAAAAATCCCCCTTGAAAAAAGATGTTTAGAAATTAAGTTAATAGAGCAATTTCTGGAGCACTTCAACAGGTGTCTTCTGTGTGAGGGTGACAGTGGGAAAAGGAGTTTTGGAGGGACATTCAGTTGTCATGTGACTTAAAAACAGCACATCATTGGCTACCTTAAGACCTACCCTTTTAATTCCCATAATGCAATATATTGTAGGAAATGAGTAAAAATTAATTATTGCCATATGGCAACTCCGTACCATAGAGGGTTAAAACACATGATTGCTTTGCTGTAAGTGTTCTTTGAAATGCTTACTTAAAAGGTGGTAGATGCTATGCATTCTAGACCATGTGTCTTCTTGCGTAAAATTAGAATAACTGTTGCATGTGTGACTATGTTGAATTGGTTTGTCTCCTACATGAAACACTTGGCTATTTCCCATATAGCTACAGTAATCCATGTATAGGAACATAGGGTTGCCACGCAGCTACAATGTGATACGCAATTGCATTATCCTTTATCCTACTTGAATTGGCTTCTTGTTTCATTATGTAACTGGCATGATACAATTTTACCTGACTAATAATAAATTGTTATATTTGATTTATTCTGATCTCTTCTGAAATCATTATTTACAATCATTATTTAAAGTGTAGTCTGGTGTTTCCGCAAATCTGCATCCAGGATAGATCATACTGAAGTACCAATGAGTGAAGCAGGGGGCTCGTCATTACGGATGTTCTGATTTCTGACTGTCACTGGCTTAACAAGTTACAGTTTTCGTGATTATAGAGAAAAAATACACTTATTTGCTAGCAGGGTGCGGCATACTTAAAGGTATTATAATCACCCTGTATCCTCTAAATATGTACAGAACTGGCAAGTTTGTGCCGTGTGTTCACCGTTGGCCAAGTGAATTACTAAGCTATACCAGGTCGTTAATGAATGAATAATTGAAAGTATGGGATTTCCAGAATAATCAAATATCTAAATTAATAAACAATCAATATTTGTGATCAGTTTTCAATTAGAAATATTGCCTAAATTTAATGATCACTTGAAATTGGACTCCCACCAATTGGATTCCGTCTTTGGGCTAGTCTGGGTGGATCCTTACAAGTGCATTGTGTTGAGATAAGTCTTTGAAATTTTGAGAAAATTGTCTTTAATTTATTTTAGTGCTGTCAAATGATTAATCACGATTAAGCGCATCCAAAATAAACGTTTTTGTTTGCATGTGTGTGTTCTGTGTATATTTATTATGTATATATAAATAGACACACACAAGCATGCATGTATTTACATGTCTATATTTATATTCATATAATTTATATTAATATATATTATTTTAAATATAATTTATATTATAAATAAAAATATTTAATATATAAACATAACATATTTTTTCTGAAATATATACATGCATGTGTGTGTATTTATATATACATAATAAATATACACAGCACACATACATATATTATGTAAACAAAAACATTTATTGTGGATACGATTAATCGTTTGATACCACTAATTTATTTGCTAATATGTATCTATTTATGAGTGCATTAACATGAAGCAAGAAATAGCAGGCCTACATTAGAAAAATGCATTACTTGTTTTCCTTTAGTGGAGCACATGCTACAAATTATTATAAATTAATTATATTTTCTTGCTCCTCTAATATATTTCCATGATTACAACTACTGTTACTGAAGTAAATCCATGGTAAATTTATGCTTGGGTAGTCAGTGTGGGTGCACTGGAAGAAGCAAATGAACTGAGCTTTCTTAAAAATGAACGTAATGAATAAACACTCTCTATATATTTATAAATGGTGGCTCAGACGAGTTTTTTAAACTGCACAAATGTTATATGAGACTACACAACAAAGGCTATGCTCGTTATTAAACTGACTAATCACAGCGAATATTCAAATGGTGCAACCTTGTTTGCTTCCATCAAAAATACAGTCGAAAAAAAGGCATAAGGAAATTAAAGTAGCCTCTTTTCACATATATGTAACCCTGGACCACAAAACCAGTCATAAGGGTCAATTTTTTTAATTTCAAATTGAGTGTAATACTCAAATACAACTATTTGAAAAGCTGGAATCTGAGGGTGCAAAAAAATCTAAATACTGAGAAAATCGCCTTTAAAATTATCCAAATGAAGGTCTTTGCAATGCATATTACTAATCAAAAATTACGTTTTAATATATTTACAGTAGGACATTTACAGAATATCTTTATGGAACATGATCTTTACTTAAAATCCTAATGATTTTTGTCATAAAAGAAAAATCAATAATTTTGACCCATACAATGTATTTTTGGCTATTGCTACAAATATACCCCAGCGACTTAAGACTGGTTTTGTGGTCCAGGGTCACATATATCCAATCATTGTCAAAGGTGACCATTTAGGTCAAGTAGTGTTTAGTTTTATTTTAGAATCTCATCGAAGCAAGTGGTAAGACAACAGGTAAACTTAAACTTTAAACAAAACATTGATGAAATACAAATTATTGAAAGTTTTCGAAACAGCAGGGGCATGTATACATTTACCATGAAAAAGAAGTGAAGATTGAGGTTCATCTTCATGTAGACGAGTAGATGATAGATGGAATATCTCTCCATTCGTGTGTATTATGATCTTAGTCTGTCTATGGTTGTCAGACTCTGTTCCGTGTTTTGCTCCCCATGTGTTTCCATGCCCATATTTGGTCCTTCCCGTTCCTGTCCTTATTTGTTCCAGGTGTCCCCTTTTCAGTTCTATTGATCCCAGGTGTGTCTCGTCATCCCATCCTCATGTCATTTGTGTATATAAAGTGTTCCGTGTTATCAGTTCGGGGTCTGGTATTGTGAATGTCTGTTTATGTCTACCTCCTCTGCTACGTGTGTTTTCCTGGTTATAATTAAAATCTCGTTATTGATGTACTCCTGGTCTCCTCGTTCCTCGCTCCGTACTCCAACACAGTAGCACCGTGACAGAATACCGGACCAAGGACAGTAAGCAGCGCCCCCTCTCCCACTGCTTGTTTTCCGTTTTCAAAAGTGTTTTGTTTTCCTGTTTGTTTCTCCCCGCTAAAATGGAGGAACAAGCTTTGTTCATCGCCGTGACTTAGGCGAGCCACGACCCGATCACCTACACGAGGGCATTCGTTCCTGATCCGGAACCTCTTCCTTTGTCAAGCCTGCTGACCACGCCTTTCACCCCGAACCTAAAGGGGAAACGAAGGGGGAAAAGGCGGTCGGCTCCAGCCCCAGAGCTCGCTCCAGTGTTGGCTCCAGCCCACGGAGGGCTCCTGTCCCCGACTTTAGCCCACGGAGGGCTCCTGTCCCCGACTTTAGCCCACGGAGGGCTCCTGTCCCCGAGTTTAGCCCAGTGAGGGCTCCTGTCCCCGAGTTTAGCCCAGTGAGGGCTCCTGTCCCTGAATTTAGCCCAGTGAGGGCTCCAGTCCCCGGGTTTAGCCCAGAGAGGGCTCCAGTCCCCGAGTTTAGCCCAGAGAGGGCTCCAGTCCCCGAGTGTAGCACAGAAAGGGCTCCAGTCCCCATGTCGAGCCCAAGGAGGGCTCCAGTCCCAATGTCAAGCCCAGGGAGGGCCACTGTTCCCGAGTTAAGCTAACGGAGGGCCTCTAAAGATGATATTCTCCCCAAGTATTTTTGGGGGGTCGGGGGGGTAGTATGGGTCCGTCCGTACTGGCCGGGCCGAGTGGCGAGGCCAAGGCCACGGAGACCGTCCGGCCATGGTGTCCTGAGTTCCCAGCTGTAGTGTATGCAGTGACAAAGCTGACTGGCTGATGACACCACAAAAATTCTAGCACATAAGTTAAATCATTTAACTTTTTTTTAATAATCACATGTTTTTTTTATTTTTATTTGCCCCAATCCCAAACCCATCACCAGATACTATACTGAGCTGCATGCAGGCTTAAAAAAAAAAATATATATATATATATATATATATACACACACACACACACACACACACACACACAAAAGCATCCCTTTTTATTATTTTTAAGAAATATCACTAATTTATGTATGCATGGCTTGCAATATATATATTTCAGGATTATTAGGTCAATTAACTTGCACGATGAGAAAATCCATACATACTCCTTATCTGAACAAACTGATCAATTATGGAAAAGTCCAGGAACTAATCCCTATTTAGCCTTTGCTGACCGTCTATTTTCATCTGAGCTTTTCATTACCTTCTGTTGCTCCTCCTCATGGTTTTAATGAAAATCTCTTTCTTTTTATCCTCCCCCCTTTCTTTCCTTCTTTGGCATCTCACTTGCATTTATTCTTGTTTATTAAAGACCATGTTATCATGCACAATAAATGGAAAAGATTTACACTGGATAGTTATTATTCAGTATTATTCCAATAATGTGTGTATGTATCTATACACACACACACACACACACACACACACACACACACACACACACACACATACATAAAAGTATTTTGGAATAAAGTTTTAATCAGAATATGGAACTTAACTGAAAAACTATCTGCATGTAAGAATGGTCATTCATCCATCTTCCTCTTAATCTCTCCATTTCCTCTTGGCATTTGCCGCCTTGTT